TGTGTCTCTTGTATGCTGCATGTATATGGGTCTTGTTTTTTTATCCAGTCAGCCACCCTATGTCTTTTGATTGGAGCATTTAGTCCAACAACATTTAAAGTAGCTATTGATAAAAATGTATTTATTGCCATTTTGTTATGTTTTTTCTGGGTGTTTTAGTAGTTCTTCTCTGTTCCTTTCTTCTTCATTTGCTCTCTTCCCTTGTGGTTTGATGGCTTTCTTTAGTATTATGTTTGAGTTCCTTTCTCTTAATTTTTTGTGTATTTATTATAGGTTTATGGTTTGAGATTACCATGAGCTTCAGATATAATAAACTAAGTATATAGTAATCCATATTAAGTTGATGGTCTCTTTTGTTTGACCTCTTGCTAAAAGCTCTATTCTTTTACTCCCCTCCTCCCACATTTTATGTTTTTGAAATCATATCTAATCTCTTGGTGTGAATGTGTGTATCTGTTGCATTCTTCTCATGGAAATAGGTAATTTTGGTACTTTTGTCTTTTGACCTTCATATCATCTTCACAGGTTGTTGATCTGCTGCCTTTATTGTATTTTTACCTTTACAAGTGATTTTATTGCTTTTTCTTTGATAATTTGAATTCTTTTTTTTTCATCTTCTCCCTAATGCACCCCAGTACGTAGTTGTAGGTCCTTCTGGTTCTGCTTTGTGGGACGCTGCCTCAGCATGGCTTGATGAGCAGTACTAGGTCTGCATCCAGGATCCAAACCGGCAAAGCCCTGGGCTGCCAAAGCAGACTATGTGAACTTAACCACTCAGCCACAGGGCCAGCTCCTGATAATTTTCTTATTCCTACTTGTGGTCCTCTCTTTCCCACTTACATAAGTCCCTTTAGCATTTCTTGTAAGACTGGTTTCTTGGTAATAAACTCCTTTAATTTTTGCTTGTCTGGGAAACTCTTTCTCTCTCCTTCCATTCTAGAAAAACTTGCTAGTATAGTACTCTTGGCTGCAGGTTTTTTCCTCTCAGCACTTTAAATATATTACGCCACTCACTTCTAGCCTGCAAGGTTTCTGCTGAGAAGTCAGCTGATAGCCTTATGGCATTTCCTTGATGTGACTTTTTTCCTTTCTCTTGTGGCTTTTAGGATTTTCTTTTTATCTTTAATTTTGGACATTTCAATTATAATGTGTCTTCATGTGGGTCTCTTTGGGTTTGTTTATGTCTATTTCTTTGCTTAGATTGGGAAAGTTTTCAGTGATTATTTCTTCAAATAGATTCTCTGCCCCTTTGTCTCTCTTCTCCTTCTGGGACACCTATAATACAAATGTTAGTGTACTTGATGTTGTCTCCGAGGTCCCTTAGACTGTTCTCATTCTTTTTAATTCTTTCTTCTTTTATCTCTTCAGCTTGGGTGATTTCCTCTAGTCTTTCGCCCAGCTCGCCGATCCGTTCTTCTGTATCATCTACTCTGCTATTGAGTCCCTTTAGTGAATTTTTCATTTCTAGAATTGTATTCTTCATTTCTGATTGGTTCTTTTTTATATTTTCCAATTGTTTGTTGAGGTTCTCACTGAGTTCATCCATTCTTCAACAAAGAGATCTATCTCCATGCAGAGAAGCTCTCCAGAGTTCAATGAAGTAGCCTTTACAACAATCCACAAAAAAGGTGCTCAATTATTAAATTTTCCAATTGTGCTTGAGAAATGCCACATAGTTTAGATTCTACTGATTTACTCTGGAAAGTACGTCCTGATTCCAAGAGGATACATATGGAAGTCAGGATTCCAAGGAAGGACCAAGTTTGTTGATCCAAAGAAGGGCTAGAGATGGGCATAGTGAACACACTGTTGGCCAGGTTGGGTTAGTGGTGCTTCTCCTTCATGTACAGAGGGAAGAAATCAGGATCACGTTCCAAAAAGAGCTGAAGCAGACTTGAAGGAGAGTTCCTTTATTTTTCCTTATTTCCTTAATGACATTTACTTTTTTATTATAATTACAAAAATAAATATTCACTTTAAAAACTCTTTTGAAAGCATAGAACAATATGACAAACAGAATGCAAATCAGCCTTAAACTCATCACCTAAATGAAACCATTGTTAACATTTTGTTGTATTTTAAGTATTTCTCTACACGTATACAATTACGTATAACTAATATGCATTTATATATTTCATTAAAAGTAGGTCCAAACTGTATACAATGCTGAAGAATTCCAATTTCAAAGATAGAAGATCCTAACTTTTAGAACTCATTAATTTTCTTAGAGATTTACCTTTCTAAGGTCTAGATCTCAATGCCAAATTAGGCATACTGGACTATCACCTTCCAATATTTTCTTTTCTGCTTGCCATTCTTCTGCCTCCTATGTCATTGGGTTCCAGTCAAGAACCACACTCAACATCCATAGCACTAATAAGAATAACAAAGTCCTGCCCAGGAGGAGTTTACAGTCAAGAGATAAATAGTCACAAGAGGGTTGAAGGTATACTTGAGACCCAACAACCACAAGCTAACAATAAAATTGACTTTCTTATTTTATTTATTCTTTCCCCTCACCTGTTTAATTTTTTTATTTTATAGTGAAACTAGAAGATGAGATTATAGTAGAAGGAATGGTAGAGATGTGAGGCAGTATGTGTGTGGGTCTGTGCGTGGAGGTGTTAGATGAACACAAATCAAAGGAAACATTTGCAACCTGCTATGAGATTCCATTACATGAATGGGCATGCACCACATCAGATGATCAGAATTATGATGTAGTGAAAACTTGCTTTCAAACCAAGAAATTGTGAGTCCAGTGAATACCACCACCATCCAGTATTTTTTTCATCCATTCTCTCTTATACTGACTGTTTGATTACTAATAAAAGTAACAATTTTTCTTAAATATAGCTTAAATTTAAAATAATTTTAAAATAAAAACACAAAATAACTATATCCACCAGCGTTATTTGGTGAAAGACTGATTCATACATTTATTTATGCCTATGTGGGAAAATGTGTTAGAGAGAAGCCCTTACATTTAAGGATTATTGGCATTGCTAGTGATTGCCAATAATTCAGAGTTTATACTTCCAACTCCTTGTTGGTGTTAATGAAAACATGTAGTCATATAAGAAAACAAGACACAATGCAGGAGTGACAGTATCCGATTAAGTATTTTTGAATTCTTTCCAAGGAAATACCTGTTAAATAGGAGCTCATTTCTTGAAAGCGGCATAACTATCCCTAGGCAGTAGGCTGAGGAGGAGAAAGCTGAGGCATTAGTCACCTGTAATTGCTCCTAGGGAGCTACCTCCATGCCCAGAGACTTACTTTACTTCTTACATGAGAGTCTGGGATAATCACATTTTGCTTTTGACAAATGTGGCAAAGCCGGGCTAAGTATTCACCAAACCCATTTGCTCTTTCTCCTGGGCACAGAACAAGACCACATTTCTCAGCCTTTCTTACAGCTAGGTGTGACCTTATGACTGAATTCTTGCCAACAGAATGTGGGCAGAAATGACACAGACCACATTCAGGATTGGCCCAATCACACTTCCCCTCTCTCTTTCTCTTTCCTAGTTGGCTGGTTGGAAGCAAAGGACTCTGAACTCATGCAGATTGGAGGAGCCACAAGAGGGAAGGAGCCTGGGTCCCTGAGTCACTTCTTGAAAGATTATCTACTAAATTCCTGCCTTCATCAGCCAGAAGCGAACTTCAATGCTCTAAAGCCACTAAGATGTTGGGGGTATAGCAGATAAGATTACCTTAACTTACATGATTATTAAAGTAATATATGTTTTTTTTCAATACCTGAGTGGTTCAGCATTATCTTCCACAAAATGACATGCAGTCATTCCTGATGGGGCCAACTTTATAGTGTATCTTTATCACTCTCTATTCTATCCCTTACTCTTCCTCTTTATTAGGCAAGTATTTGCTGCTCCCTAAACTCAATACATGTTTAAATTCTCATTACCTTTGTATATTCTTTTGCCTCTGTCTGGGTGCCTTTCCTCAACCTATCCAGTCTGTAAGAAAAAATTATTTTCTTTCTTCAAGAAACAATTTAAATGTCACTTCATCTGTGAAGCCACTCAAATATCTCCACGCTCCTTCTTTGCCTTCCCCTTACATCCATCCGTTTATCCACCTAGGCATTCGGCAAGCATTTACTAAGTGTGACAATATGTTTGGCCCCAAGCAGTTGAGACTTGAAAATGAATGATGACGTCTCTCTCCACAGGGAACACAGGGTCCAGTTTGAGAGGAGAGACCTATAAGATGATACTTACAATACAACAGATAAAGGCAACACTACAGATAAATATTGAGTGCTATGAGAGCAAGAAGAGCCTTCATGCGTGTTTCCCCCTCCCCCTGAAACACGCTTTCCCAGATCTGGGCATGACTTCACCCTCCTGTACCTCCAGGCTCAGATGTTCTCTCAGAACCTCAGGCTTATTTTCTCTATACCAATGACCACAAACTGTTTCTACTTTATTCATTGTCTTGTTGGTTTTCGGTTATTGCCCATCTCTCTCATTAGGATGTAAGAACTCTGAGCATAGGATGCAAGCTTTCATTTCACCACCATCTGTCTACATCCACACAGTGACTGGCACATTATAGGTGCTCAGTGAATGCTAGTTGAGTGAATGCGTAGACCCAATCTGCCTGGGGATGGGCTGTTAGGGAAAGTTTCCTGAAGGAGTCGGTGCCTGATCCAAATTGTAAGAAGTAAGTAGGAATTTGCCTGGAAAAGGGAAAAAGGGAGATTCCAGGTAGAGGATCAACATAAACAAGAGGATAAAACATGGCCTGATATTTGCGGAAAACTATAAGAAATAGCGTTGCCAGAACAAAAGTGGTAAGAGTGGTGGATAAGGCTGAAAAACACATGGTGGGCAGAGGATTGCTTCCTCATTCCTCCCACCAGCACTTATTCTGAATTCTGAAATATTTATCATATGACACTTCGGACTCTGTATCGTAACTGCATTTTTTAACATCTCTGTGGGCTTGAAGGGCAGGAACTGATTCTCACTCACCTTGTGTCCCCAGCTCCCGACTTCATCCTTGATGTAAATGGCAGGCAGTTGAGAAGGAAGAGGATTAATTCTGAAAACAAAGATAGAGGATGCCCAGCATAAAAATACAATAAAGTCAAAATTTATGCCAACACAAAGTGTCGTGGTAGAGGGGAAAAAGGATTGATGGCATCCCTTTCCTCTCAAGAGGTCTGTGTGGAACATATTTTGCTGCCCTTTTGTCCCACAAAACACAGGTAACAAAACCAACGTTGATAAAAGTATCAAATCATCCAGCATGGACTTGCGCTGAGCTCCAGCACATCCCCACAGAAACCTTGGGAGTGTGGTGAGAAGTTAAAGACACTAATGCTGTGAAAACACTCATACTGAGCAGACTAATAGTAGGGATGAAGCCTGAAAGGGGCTTTTTTTTTTTCTTTGGAGGAAGATTGGCCCTGAGCTAACATCCATGCCCATATTCCTCTACTTTCTATGTGGGACGCCTACTACAGCATGGCTTGACCAGCAGTGCTAGGTCCACACCTGGGATCTGAACTGGCGAACCCCGGGCCACCAAAACAGAACGGGCGAACTTAACTGCTGCGCCACTAGGCTGGCTCTTAAAGTGGCTTATTTTTTATTTCAAGAAAAGTACAAACAAATGGGCATAATTTAAAGCTGAGTCCTTCAGGATTTTAGGAAGAAAGACAAAAGGAAACTTTAGCCATATGCACCTTGAAACCAAGGAAAGAAATTCCCCAGACCTTTAAAAGATGTTTTTCCCATCCTCTGATTATAAAAATATAGTTATATGTGCTCAGTGTAAAGTATTATGATGAAAGAAAAATTATATAAAATCTCACTAACTGGCAATAAACAGTTAATTTTTTTGTTTATACCCTTCCCGATAGTTTTAAACACACACACACAATGAATGCATGCATGCACATGTTTTATAATGGGAATCATTTTACACACTCTGTTCTATAAGCTGCTTTTCTGCCTTAATATCTTATAGATATTTAACGTATTAATGATTATGAATATAAATAGTTATTTTCAAAATTTGCATAGGATACAGTCCATTGTATAACACTCCATAATTTATTTGTAGGTCAATCAGTCAATCGACAAATTTTGATTATCTTACTCTATGCCAGCAACACTTCTAGACACTGAGTATACACCAGTAGACAAAACAGAATCCTTGCCCTTAAGTTACTTATATTTAACTGGGAGATGAGCAACAGAAAATAAACACATAGGTAAATAAGATAAATGCAGGTACTGATGGGTACTACAGAGAAGATAAAAGACAAGAACATGCTAAAGAGTAACTAAGGTTACTTCAGTTTCTGGTGATATGGTAGACTAAATAGTCTGAAAATAGCCTCTTTTTATCCCCCAACACACATGTACAATTTGGAAAGAATACAGAGTCAAACTAGCAAGACAGTAAGGAAAACCCCTGGGGAGCAAATACAAAAAGTAAGCAATTATTTAGACTAAGACTTAGCACTGAATCTCCCTGAGGCTGTCTACCAGTATGGTGTTTTAATGGCTTTACAAAGGAGAGGAGACAAAGACCGTGCAGCCTGTGCAAGGAGGAGCGTGAGAACTGAAAAGTCGCCTAAATTCGGGGCCCCACAAGTGCTACCCACTCAGTGACAGGGTGGGAGAGAAAACATGCCCCACACCTTCTGTAGGGGATGGAGAGACAACTTTTCCTGTCTTGGTTTTAAAACCAGGAGTAAGCAAACAATAGTCTCTCTTGAGATGTCATCACCATAGCCCTGCCCTGTGTGGGTTTGAGGTTTAAATTTATACCACCTGCCTGAGCTGGGAAACCCAAAACTGAGAAATTAACACAGGATGGTCAGTGCCCCGGGCACCAGGCCAAAGCCAGAAAAAATCCTCTGCTGAGTCCGAATGGAACCCCTCCTGAATTCCAACAGATTTCGGTTGCCAAATAGCTCAAAATTAGTGAAAGCCACATGGGAAACAAGCCACTATGAGAATGAGATATGTGAAATTCAAGGGGTGTTTACAATTTTAAATGCTTATAGAAGAAATGGAAAAACACTGATAAAGGTCTAAGCGTCCAACTTAAGAAGTTGAGGGGGGGGGAAGAAAGAAGAAAGAAAAGAAGGAAGAGATGAAATAAACCATAGAAATAAATGGCAAATGAAGATAATAGCAGACAGTTGGTTTTTTTAAGGACTAATTAAATAGGTAAACCTCACAAGAATGACCAACTAAAAAGGAGAGAAGGTGCAAAAAAAATTAGAAGTGAATGGGGTATGATACTGATAGGGAGAGATTAAAAATATATTAATATCCTACAGTGAATTTGTTTATGCCCATAAATTTGAAAACTTAGGGAAAATGAATAATAATCTTAAAAGCTAAAACTGAAAACTGATTGTAGAAGAAATAGACAACCTGAATAGATCTATAATCATTCCTGAAATTGGATCAGTACTTAAAAATCTACCCACTAGACAATCAAGGCTCACCCGCTTAGCAGCTCCCTCACCTAGCCTCCAGGCCTCTCTGAGGCAGTCAGGTCCAGCTGAAACTTGAGTGATGAGAAAGAATGAGCTGTGCAAAGATCTGGCGAACAAGATTTCAAGTCTAAGGAAGGAATGTCCAGCGCACAGTGTCTAAGACAATGAGAGAGACAGCAAAAAGGCAGAAATAAACTAAAAGGGGTCATTTCAGATACTTGTAAACAGCCAGTATTTGTTGAGTTCTAATCGGTGCCAGTCACAGAGCTCAGAGCTTTACATACATGATTTCCAGTCCTCACACATCCCCATTTCATAGGGGAGCCAACTGAGGCTTAGTGAGGCTAACTCACGGGACCCACAGACACAGTGCTCGGGAGTGCAGATCCAGGATTCGAAACCACTCTGACATCTGAGAGTTGAACCACATGCTCCGTGCCTGAGGAGGAAGTGCTCTAAACAAACGCCACCCGGAGCAATGGCTCTCCAAGTGTGGTCTCGGCATGAGCAGCAGCAGTGTCACCTGGGAGCTTTAGAAAGGCATTCTCAAATTCCTGGCCTCACCCCAGACCTACTGAATTCAGAAACTCGGGGGGCCGGCCCTGCGATCTGTGTCTTAACAAGCCCCCCGGGTGGTTCTGGACCTCTGATCTAGAGCAACCAGGAAGGTAGGATGCTGTAAGGAAAATGCCGTGCACTGTAGAGCTGGACAACCTGGGCTTCAGCCCAGTTCCGCTACTTCCAGCTAGGTGACATTTATATACGTCTCTTAAAAGTTCGTAGCCTTAGATCTCTTACCTGTAAAATGGAGACAATTATAGTTCCTACCTTTGGGTTTTTGTGAGGATTAAATAAGGTAACATAAATATTAGTAAATCAGTGCCTGGCACATAGAAAGTGCTCCATAAAAGTTCTCAGTAAATGTTTGCCATTATTACTCTCCTGTGCCTGGAGTCTGTCTTCCTCTAGCCTTTCTACAGTCACTCTGCACCCTCACTGTACCCTGGAGAGGAGGAGTTGGAAGGACGGAAATAGCTGGAGCCTAGAAAAGCAGCTGGGATGAGGAGCAGGTGAAAGAGACCAGGGAGCTACACTAGAGCAACAGCGGTGGCCGAGGAGGCAAGCGGAAGCTTCCAGAGCTGTTTCTCAGGAAGCGTGGGTCGACCCTGGTGCCTGATCAGATGTGCAGGAGAGCAAAACCAAGAGTCAAAGATGCTTCTGAGCCTCTAGTTTGGCTGATGGGTCCAGAGTGGTTGCACTGGGAAAATGAATTCAGGAGCAAGAACAGGTTAGGGGTTGTGATAATGTGCCCATATTTAGACAAGTGATTTTAGAGTACCCGGGGTAATAGAGAAGGGCCATTCCAGAAGTAAAGTGCCTGTGTGTGAGAGAGACTGGAACTGTGACGTCAGTATGACAACCTGTTGTTCTCAGTCCTTTATCATTGAAATTGCTGTTTCCTTCCTGTGGGTACCAATGTGACAGCGAAGGGTACTACTTGCCAGCCAGCAGGGCCTGCTGGTAATGCCACATTCTGTTGATATTCAGCAATCATGGTCAGTGCTAATGACACAAAGACGTGTCATTCAGGAGGCAGAATATGTGGGCAGGGAAGGATGCCATCACTAATGCATAGGCTAATGGGACTTGATGAGCAGTGAGGATCAATGAGCAAACACTGCCTGCCTCAAAAATGAACGAGGTAAGAATGGACGAGCGCCAGACCACAGTTCATCTCAAGTGTGTGCTCAGACTTTGTCACCCAGTGAGACACAATTCACGCTAATCGCACGTTATCCCCGGCATGCTCATGGGTCACGGTCATCAGTTTATTTAATTCTGTAATATTAATAGCACATTTGCGCAGGGCCAGGTACAGTGCAAGACGCTGAGCACTAAGTAAGGAAAAAGATACACATGGTCTCTGCCCTGTGGACCCATCCAGTCATCCCTTCTTATACCAAAAATGAGTTTCAGCTCGTTTGGTCCATGACATATAAATTAGATACTGCGTGTCTCCTCTTCCTCCTCCTTCCTCTCATTAAAACTACCACTCTTACAACCGTCACCATCATCATAGCATTATCACTATTAACATTATTTTATCACTCTATATCACACACAAACTACCTCTAAATTTCTGTTGCTGCTTATAACTGCCTATCTTGCAAAATCATAATCTCTATACCCAATTAAGAAACTTTATCTGTTATTCTTATCTGTTGTCTACACAGCATGCGCTGTGTCTAGGACACTTGCTGCCACTTTCTCTTATGCTCGAGCACCCATCACCCTCAGAGCTCAAACTGTCTTGAGCACAACTCTCAGGCTGTCTGTGGCCAGGCTTCCTACTTCCTCTGAGTGCCTTCAAAGGTGCTTAGATCCGTAGGAATGAGGGCATTGGTGTCGATCAGGACCTGCCGCTCCGGCTTCCCACCAACTGAAAAATAAACCTTTCACAGATAAACAGAAAACCCTTTGAGCAGAAGTAGATACTCTTTCGGATAAAGATCCTAAAGGATTCTGGGTTAACAGGATCAACCTAGCTGGCTTGAGTTTTACATAGTGCCAAATAATGGAA